TGTAGCACCAGCCATCTCTCAGGCTGGAGGAGGATCCCAAACTCCTGCTACTCGTACTCTGGAGCAGGTAGCTCCCCAGTTCCAAACTCCAGTAGTTCAGCCAGTTGGAGTAGTTCAACCGAGTGTGGTAGCTCATACCGGTGATGGAGCAGTTATGTTTGCCGATGCTTTGTGAAGGTTGGATAGGTTCACCATGCTCTTCACTCCTACTTTCAGCGGTGCATATTCTGAGGATCCACATGATTATCTAGACAGCTGTCATGAGGTTCTCAGGTACGTGGGGATAGTGGAGACCAACGGGGTCGATTTTGCTACTTTTTGCTTGTCTAAATCCGCCAAGACTTGGTGGAGAGATTATTGCTTGGCTAGACCAGTCGAATCTCCAACTTTGACTTGGGAGCAGTTTACTCAGCTATTTTTGGAGAAGCTTCTCCCTATTACTCAGAGAGAGATCTATCGGAGGCAGTTTGAGCACCACCAGCAGGGTTTTATGACTGTTACTTAGTATGAGACCAGATTCATCAACTTCTCCTGTCATGCTCTTATCATACTTCCCACCGAGAGAGAGAGAGAGAGAGGGTGAGGAGGTTCATTGAGGGACTTATTCAGCCGTTTTGACTTAAGATGGCCAGGGATACTGGGAGTGAGATTTCTTTTCCAAGAGGCGGACAATGTGGCCAGGAGAGTTGAGATGGTTCTATTACAGGGAGGTGGTTAGGGGTCTAACAAGAGGCCTCGTCATTCAGGCCGATTCAGCGGTACCTTGTCTGGAGGTAGGGATTCGTATGGTAGAGGCCATCCTCCTAGGCCTTTTTAATCAGCACTTCAGGTTTCTCACGGTGCTTCAGGTGGTCGTGATCCCCATATGCAGTATTTTGATCAGCAGTCCTACAGTGCACTACCATCCCCTGTCAGTGCACCGCCACTTCAGAGTTTTTGGGGTGGTCATTCAGGTCGTCAGGGTCATAAGTCTAAATAGTCGAGGGCTTGTTACACTTGTGGTGATATGGGTCACATTGCTAGGTTTTGCCTTCGAACATCGAGCAGCTCTCAGCATCAGGGTTTCCGTGCCATAGTTCAGGCATCGAGTGTTCCATAGCCCGCCCAGCCAGCTAGAGGTGGGGGTAGATGTGCTAGAGGTGGAGGTAGAGGTATTAGAGGTGGAGCTCAGGCCACTAGAGGTGGAGACCAGCCAGTAGCAGGCCATCCCAGAGATATAGTTTAGGGTGGTGTGGCCCAGGCCCGATGTTATGCTCTTCCCGCCAGGCCCGAGGCTGAGGCTTCCGATGCAGTTATCACAGGTACGGTTCTGGTTTGTAGTAGGGATGCTTCAGTGTTATTTGATCCAGGGTCTATGTACTTCTATGTGTCACCTTATTTTGCACCATATCTGGTCATGCCTAGTGATTCTTTAAGTGCTCGTATTTATGTGTCTACACCGGTGGGTGATTCTATTAGGGTAGATCGAGTCTATCATTCATGTATAGTTGTGATTAGGGGTCTTGAGACTCATGTAGATTTGCTTCTGCTGGATATTGTTGATTTTGATGTCATATTGGGGATGGTCTGGTTATCACCTTACCGAGGACTAATGACTTGTTTGATCAGCTTCAGGGTGACAACGTATTTTCGAAGATTGACTTGAGATATGGCTACCATCAGTTGAGTATTAGGGCATCCGATGTCCCTAAGACAGCTTTCCGCACTCGATACGGGCATTATGAGTTCTTGGTGATGTCATTCGTGTTGACAAATACCCCAACAACTTTAATGGATTTGATGAACCGAGTGTTAAAGCCTTACTTGGATTCGTTTGTGATAGTCTTCATTGATGATATTTTGATCTATCCCGTAGTCGAGAGGAGCACGAGCAACATCTTAGAGTGATTCTTCAGACTTTGAGGGACAATCAGTTGTATGACAAGTTTCCGAAGTGTGAGTTCTAGATGAGTTCAGTTGCATTCCTGGGTCATATTGTATCAGTAGAGGGCATTTAGGTGATCCGAAGAAGATTGAGGCAATCAAGAACTGGCCTAGACCACCATCAGCTACAAAGATCCGGAGTTTCTTGGGATTGGTAGGCTACTATTGTCGATTTGTGGAGGGGTTTTCATCTATCACAGCTCCGATGACCTGGTTGACCTAAAAGGGTGCCCAGTTCATATGGTTGGACGAGTATGAGGTGAACTTTCAAAAGCTCAAGACAACTCTGACTATGGCACTGGTGTTGGTTTTTCCCACAAGTTCCGGGCCTTATACAGTTTATTGTGATGCAACTCGTATTGGACTTGGTATGGTGTTGATGTAGGATGGAAAGGTCATTACCTATGCTTCACGATAGTTGAAGATTCATGAGAAGAACTATACGGTTCATGATTTGGAGTTAGCAGCCATTATTCACACATTGAAGATTTAGAGGCATTATCTATATGGCTGGCATGTGAGGTATTCACGGATCACAAGAGTCTGTAGTATTTTTTCGAGCAGAAGGAGCTAAATTTGATGCAGAGAAGGTGGTTGGAACTATTAAAGGATTATTATATAACCATCTTATATCATCCAGGAAAGGCCAATGTGGTGGCCGATGCCTTGAGTAGGAAGACAGCCAGTATGGGCACTCTTGCTTATATTCTGGTCGGTGAGAGACCGCTTGCTTTGGATGTTCAGGCTTTGGCCAATCAGTTCGTGAGGTTGGATGTTTCTGAGCCCAGTCGTGTGTTAGCTTGCACGGTCGCTCGTTCCTCTTAATTGGGGCTTATCCGTGATCGGCAGTATGATGATCCCCATTTGTATTTCCTTAGAGACACGATGCAGCATAGAGGTGCCAAGCAGGTTACCTTAGGTGATGATGGAGTTTTGAGATTGCAGGGTCGAATTTGTGTGCCTAATGTGGATGGACTTCGAGAGTTAATTTTAGAGGAGGCCCATAGTTCCCGGTACTCCATTCACCCAGGCGCCGCTAAGATGTATCAGGATTTGCGGCAGCATTATTGGTGGTGGAGGATGAAGAAGGACATTGTTGCATATGTGGCTCGTTGTTTGAATTGTCAGCAGGTTAAGTACGAGCATCAGAGACCTGGTGGTTTGTTCTAGAAGATTGAGATTCCTGAGTGGAAGTGGGAGCGTATCACTATGGACTTCATTGTTGGACTTTCACAGACTTAGAGGAAGTTCGATGCAGTATGGGTTATTGTTGATTGGCTGACCAAGTCAGCACATTTCATTCCTGTGACAGTCTCCTACTCTTCCGAGAGGTTAGCTGAGATCTATATTCGGGAGATTGTTCGTCTTCATGGTATGCCCGAGTCTATCATTTCGGATCGAGGTACACAATTCACCTTCCATTTCTGGAGAGCAGTTCAGCGAGATTGGGCATAGGGGTTGAGTTGACCACAACATTTCATCCTCAGATGGACGGGCAATCCGAGCGGACTATTCAGATTTTGGAGAATATGCTCCGAGCTTGTGTCATTGACTTTGGAGGCTCGTGGGATCAGTTTTTGCCTTTAGCAGAGTTTGCCTACAACAACACCTACCAGTCGAGTATCCAGATGACTTCGTATGAGGCTTTGTATGGTAGGCGGTGTCGGTTGCCGGTTGGATGGTTTGAGCTGGGGGAGGCTCGGTTGTTGGGTACGAATCTAGTATAAGATGCCTTTGACAAGGTCAGGATTATTCAGGATAGACTTCGTACAGCTCAGTCCAGACAAAAAGGTTATGCCGACCGTAAGGTTCGATATTTGGCATTCATGGTCGGCAAGGGGGTATTGCTTCGAGTGTCGCCTATGAAGGGCGTGATGAGATTTGGGAAGAAGGACAAGCTTAGCCCTAGGTTTATTGGCCCGTTTGAGATTCTTGATCGAGTGGGAAAGGTGGCTTACATACTTGCATTGCCATCGAGCTTATCAGTCGTGCATCCAGTGTTTATGTGTCCATGCTTCGGAAATATCACAGCGTTCCTTCCATTTGTTAGATTTCAGCACTGTCCAGTTGGACAAGGAATTATCTTACGAGGAGGAGCCGGTAGCTATTCTAGACCGGCAGGTTCGTCAGTTGAGATCGAAGAGTTTTCCTTCTGTTCGTGTTTAGTGGAGAGGTCAACCCGCTGAGGCATCGACCTGGGAGTCCGAGTCCGATATGCGGAGCCGTTATCCTCATCTTTTCCCCGACTCAGGTACTTCCTTCTTACGTCCGTTCGAGGACGAACGATTATTTTAGAGGTGGAAGATGTGATGACCCAAAAGGTCATCACTTGTTTTAAAAGTGAATTCTGTGTTCTGAGGCCTTAAAACCTCTTTCGGCATCACCTCAATTTGCGTGTGCAATCCGGGCATGTAGCCGGAAAGCCATTTTTGTGAAAGTCTGTGAAAAATGATGAATTTTGCATTTAAAATGAGTTTAAGTTGACTTCGGTTAATATTTTAGGCAAACGGACCCGGACCCATGATTGGACAATCTCTGGAGGGTCCGTAGGAAAATATGGGACTTGGGCGTATGCCTAGAATCGAATTTTGAGGTCCACGCCCGAGAAATGAATTTTTAAAGAAAATTGTTTTCTGGAATTATTTATGAGTTTTGGAAATGAAATATGTTTAAAACTTGATGGTATCGGACCCGTATTTTGGTTCCGGCGCCCAGTACATGTCTTACATGTGATTTAAGATAAGTCTGTGAATTTTGGTAAGAAACGGACTTGAAATGACGTGAATCGGATCGATTTTTAGAAAATTGAAAAATTTGAAGTTCTTAAGAAATTTCATGATTTTGATGCTAAATTCATAGTTTTAATGTTATTTTAGTGATTTGAATGCACGAGCTAGTCCGTATGATATTTTTAGGTTGGTGTGCATGCTTAGGTTGGAGCCTCGAGGGCTCGGGTGAGTTTTGGATAGGCCACGGGGTGGATTTTGGACTTGAGGAATTGCAGACTTTCAGCTGTTACATTGCAGGCCTGCAGGCTTTGCATTTGCAAAGCCTAGCTCGCAAATGCAACTTCGCAAATGCGAAGGCCTTGTCGAAATACGAACAATGGCCCTGGCCAGCGACCTCGCAATTGCGAGGAAATCTATCGCAAATGCGATGGCTTCCCTCTTAGCCAGTCGTCGCAAATGCGACGCATTCTTCGCAATTCCCAACTCGCAGATGTGAGAAGTTGTTTGAAAATCCCAACTTAGCAGAAGTCTGGGTTCGCAATTGTGAACCCTGGTCGCAATTCCCATATCTACAACCTGCAATTTTATAACTTAGCCGAAAATCTCTCATTTTTCACACTCTTTCAAAACCAAAACCCTCTTGGGTTATTTTTCAAAGACAATTCTTCTTCCAAATCGATTGTAAGTCAATTTAACTCGTTTTCTTTAATCATTAACATCTTTTCACATGATTTCAACTCAAAATCAATGATTTTCATGGGGGAAATGGGGTGTTCTGGGTAGAACCTAGATTTTTTAAAAATTGGAGATTTGGACCTCGATTTGAGGTCCGATTTCAAAACAAATTATATATTTGGGTTTGTGGGGGAATGGGTAATCGGGTTTTGGTTCGAACCTTGGGTTTTGACCATGTGGGCCTGGGCGATTTTTGACTTTTTGGGTAGAACTTTGGAAAACTTATTTTCATGCATTAGGATTGATTCATTTAGCATTTATGGATGTAATTAAGTAACTTGTGGCTAGATACGAGTGAACTAGTGGCGGAATCAAGAGGTAAACGATAGTAGAGGCTTGAATTGTGTTCGTGGCATCGAGGTAAGTGTTTGGTCTAACCTTAGCTTGAGAGATTAAGAGTCGAGTCCTATTTTCTATGTGATATTTGTCGAGTATGGCGTATAGGCATGGTGACAAGTATCTATATGTTGGTGTCAAGCATGCCCATGAGTCTTATATTGTGATTATTATGGTTTTGTTGTATTATTCATGCTTTGATGATGATTTCTATTGTTGGGTAAAATTTGTGGAAGTAATTGTGACATTTGAACATCGAGGAGCGTTGATTCAAGTTGTACAATGAAATGTGAAAGTATAAGTGGAAATTGAATCTTTTAGAGCATTGGCTCAAAGTTGTGAAGTAAAAGTGAAAAAGAGAAGAGAATCATTATATTATCTCCCTTGCCGGGAATTTGTTGTTTTGATGTTATCTCCATAGCCGGGATGTTGATGCTTCTTTTGATGTTATTCCTTTTCCGGGACTTGATTGCTGAACTATTGTTCCCTTGCCGAGATTCTTATTGTAATCTCATTTATTCCCTTGCCCTATTCTTGCGATTGTTGTATGGGTGAGGAAGAGTGTTAAAGCACGAAAGGTGATGCCGTGTATTATTTTGGTGAAAGAGTGTTAAAGCACGAAGGGTGATGCCGTGTATGATTTGTGAGGAAAGAGTGTAAAGCACGAAGGGTGATGTCGTGCCGCACGATGTACCATTCCGTGCTGATTATATTGATTATATGGTGAGGAAGAGAGTAAAAGCACGAAAGGTGATGCCATGCACATTTTCATTACTTGATTGCTTTGGTGAGGACGAGAGTAAAAGCACGAACGGTGATGCCGTGCACTTATTGATTTCTGGTTCTTTGTTGATATCCGAGAAATGTTGTTTCTTTTAGTGACCTGTTGTCTTTCTATTCTAAATTGATAGTTCCCTCGCAGCATGTTACCCCTCCCATACTTGACTGTATATTATTGTTCTTCTTTTTTGCTGTATATAGTTGAATTGCACAGATTTATTTGGTAGTCTGGTCCTAGCCTCGTCACTACTTCACCGAGGTTAAGCTAGGCACTTACCAGCACATGGGGTCGGTTGTGCTGATACTACACTCTGCACTATGTGCAAATCCCGGAGCAGCAGCATTTGGTCTGTATATTGGGTGGCTTCCTTCAGTCCATACGGAGATCCAAGGTAGACCTGCAGGCGTCCGCAGGCCCTGGCGTCTCCCTTTATCCCTTTATTCCTGTTTCATTTCCTTAATTCAGAAACAGTGTATCGTTTATTTTCAGACTTTGTATGTAGCATTCTTATATCGCCAGTGGTACTGTGACACCAGTTCTGGGTGGTCGAGGTTCAAACAGTTGTATTAGATATATATATACACACTCTTGCAGGTCAACACTCTTTGGCTTTATAATTGTTAAAGAGTATAAAATGGATAAAGAAGTAATTTGTTCAAATAATTGGCTTGCCTAGCTCACATTAGTTTGCTTGCCGAGGGTGGAAAATCTGGGTCGTGACAGTTGCGTTCGCGAAGCATTGGCTTGAAGAGCCTTTACGTTCGCGAAGGTTCACTCCTCGACCTTCGCGTTCACGAGCCGTTGGCCGCGTTCGCATAGCGTATTTCACCCCTCCCCCAGGTCCCTACCAAAATGGCATTCGCGTTCGTGAAAGCCAAGTCGCGTTCACGAAGGGTAACGCCCCCAACGCTCCACGTTTGCGACATGTGCCTCGCGTTCGCGTAGAAAGAATTTTCACTCAGACAATTTTACTCTTCGCGCTCGCGAGAGTTCCTTCACGAATGCGAAGAAGGATATAGTTATGCACCTGCAAGAGCAAAATAGTTGAAATCTCTAAGTCCAAAACATCCCGAAACCTATCCGAAAATCACCCGAGCCCTCGGGGCTCCAAACCAAACACGCACACAAGTCTAAAAATATCATACAAACTTGCTCATGCGATTGAATCGCTAAAATAACACCTAAAACTACGGATCTAAAATTAAAATCAATGAAAATCTCAAGAATTCTTAAAGTTTCTATTTTCATAACCGAGGGTCCGAATCACGTCATTTAAACTCCGTTTCTTACCAATTTTTATAGACATAATTTAAATACGGGCCCAATACCAATAAGATTGAATGTTCTTAAATTTCCAAAAATCCTTATATTATCAGGTAAATAATTTTCTTCAAAAATTTATTTCTCGGGCTAGGGACCTCGTAATTCAATTTCGGGCAAACGCCCAAGTCCAATATTTTACTACGGACCCTCTGGGACTATCAGAATACGGGTCAGGGTCCATTTACCCAAAACGCTGACCGAAGTCAACAAAAATGATCTTTTAAGCCTAAATTCATTATTTCTTAAAAAATTTCACATAAGGGCTTTTTGAATATACGTCCGAACTGCGTACGCAAATCAAGAAGAATGAAAATGACGTTTTGAAGGCCTTGGAATCCCGGATTGGGTTCTAAAATACGAGATGATCCTTTTAGGTCATCACACATAATTAGTAATTAAGAAAGTGATAAAATGGTTATTTGCAGGTAAATAATGTAGGAATTAATGGACTAATGATTGAGGGAAATCTTTCAGTCCTTCCAACGCTAATAGAACGAGATGCTGCTCGGGCTTTAGGCATTACAACTGAGGTTAGTTCATATATTTCCCTTTATTTCTCTTTACATTTTCATAACAACCCGATGCTACTGGATTTGTTTTAAAGATTCATACCGTCGACCCTAATTTTATATAGGATTGAAGCATAATCTGTTGAGTAAATGATCTATCGAGTGTTTTTATATGGTTATCGGTAAAATATACTAATTAATGCAGGAGGATGAAGCTCCAATCAAGTCAAATGGAAAACTCATAGAGACTTCTGAATTGGCAGAAGAATGTGTAACAACTAATTATTATGGAGAAAAAGAATGATTGAAGCCTTTATTCCACTGCACCTCTTGTGTCCTTTACTAAGGGTTGTTAATATTTCTTCATCGCTTGGAAAAATTAAGGTAATCCTAACTTAACCTTTGGACTATTTCCTTACAAAATATAGAAATTACTTTTTTCCCCTCACTTTCTATTTGCTAATAACGACTTAATAAAATATGGTAAAAGTGTATCTGCACCCAGCAATTGCACCAAACAAATATATATATATATATATAGTGTAAGTTTCGTTTGAATTATTAGGCCCAAAGTTATTAAACTTGACCTCAAAATATTACTGTAGTACCTAATTTGAGATAAGTGCTATGAATCAAGTACAACAACAATAACATATCTAGTAGAACCCCACCAGAAGTACTAGGAATCAAAAATTTACAATAAAAAAGTAAAAAGTTGCGGCTCACAATATCACATTTTTCTTTTTCACCTTCCCGTGTTTGAAAGAGATCCTTACACAAATAGGCCGTCGGAATTATTTTTTTAATTTAAGCGATTGAATGGATGTCTATTTACATCAATTTTTTTTTGTTGAAATACCTATTCAGCTGGTATCAAATGAATGGGCCATAAAAGCTTTAAGTGACGGGGAAAGACTTAAAACAGAAAAAGTAGATGAAGTATTGATTAAATATCTTATGGACTTGAAGGAGGGTTTATTAGAAGAAAAGGGTTGGCCCGCTGATATGGCAGCTTATAAATTCTCAAAAGCTGCCTTGAATGCATACACAAGAATTGTGGCCCAAAAGTATTCTTCTATATGGGTCAAATGTATTTGTCCGAGCTATACGAAAACAGATATTACTTTTAATACTAGGCCTTTGACTCCAGAAGAAGCTGCTGAAATCCCAGTAAATTTGGTCCTTTTGCCTGAAGGTGGGCCTACAGGCCAGTTCTTTTTCCGGAAGAAAGTCTTCACCTCATTCTGAAAAGCAAAAAGCCAATTTAAGTGTTGTGAAGCAACTTGGCTAAAGATCGCATGAACTTGTAATATTATATTTATAGAATAAAGAAGTGGTTCTAAAATTGATGTGGAGTAAACAATTGAAGTTAAATAAGGTTTGTTTGTTTTGGGTTCATTGATAGAAAAGAAATGAAATTAAAAAATAACCAGGCTGGTGAATAAACACAATATATATCCTACTGAAGACAAGAAAAGTGAAAGCATGTCTTCCATCATAAAAACATGACAAATTGGTCAAAGTATAATTTAAACATTTCATGTCTATATAAGAAGGATATTCATATTTCGCAACACAAACTCGGTTCAAGCCTTAGACGTAAATTGAACTAGTATTGTCAGGGACGAAAAAAGTAAGAGTAGTAGATGCATGTTAAACTAAAATATTTCAATACAATCTGTGATGGAAACGAGTTATAAGAAAAGACGTGTCAGTCTAAGATGGTAGGAATGGAGAGATCGGCTTTAACTTTTCATTCTATGTATGCTCGTCAATCTACATTTGTAAGTCATCCTTGCATCAAATCAAATGACAATATGTCTAGTTTGTACATATGTCTGCCACGAACTAGGCCAGACTTTCATGTAAAAGGTGGGGGCGAGATTCTGGTCTGCATTTTGTACACTTCCCACAGTCTTTGCCTTTGATATCGAGTATAAGTAGTTTTCTACTATTACCTGTAAGCAATCACTATCAGATTCAAGTTGAGGACCGAAAATTGAAATGTCAACTTAATTATATTCAACCTAAAAGCAGACTGCATTCATTTGTCACACGTGCAAACATAATATGCACGAAAATAGAACATTCTTTTTCAAATATCTGCCTGAAGAATTTCCATAAGATGATGGACAAGATTTCACAGGTACCTGCATATGACATGCAGCAATAAGAGGGCCTCCAATTCCGCCACATATTGACGCGACCATCTGGACTAACAAGAGAATTAAGGCCACCGGTCCTCACCTGAGTCCCACAACTATCACCAACCAAGAAGGATCCTGATAGACATAATATCTCAAAATGTCCCTGGAGATCTAGAGAAAGAGAGGACAAAACATGCTTATCAGAAAAGTTCACCTCAGTAAACAAAGGGAGAGAGTTAATTAAAGTGAGGGGACTAAATGAGTAATAAAGTATGTTCATGCAGGGGTCCGGGGAAAGATTAGAGAGTAATAGGTCATAATATATATTCATTCAATGAGAAAGCATAGCATCAGTTAATGCCATGTAATTTAAGCAAATAATGAGCTCCTAATATTGCTCTATCCAGTTTGACCTTGTCAATGCCAACATACCATTGCAAAATTAATTTCATCATTTTCCTACAATATTGATTTTGTTTAATATCAAAATTATCCATATTGGGAACACTATCATCAAAATCTATCTAATTGTAATCTCTTAATACTCCCTCTTTCCCAATTTATGTGATAAGAGCGTTAACATTTCTTAACATAAGCAAACAACTCAGTGGCGGATCTATGTACATGGTTCGGAGTGATATGCCACCCGCAAGATTCGGCAAATACTTTGTGTATATATGTAAATATATATAAGAAATATGATATATATTTAAAGTGCCACCTGTAGAACAAAAGTGGCAAAGGTGCCAATGGCAAAACTTTGCCTTTTCGTTCAGCAGGGCAAGAGTTGGAATCCAGGGGGGAGCAAATAATTTTTTGGGTTACATTTAGTTGCAATTTAAGGAGATTAAGTACACTACACAACACACTCTTCTATATTTTATATTAACTGTTTGACTTTTCTGTTTGTTTGTTTAAGTATAAACAAATAAGGTAAAATAATAATAAAAGTATTCTTTATAGAATATTATCTTATAATTAATACTCCTAATAGAAAGTTAAAATCCTTTTTTAGGATCTTTCCCAAATCCCAATTTTCAAAAGGTAAAACAAAGGCCCAATTCCTCAAGTCCCTTACGTCACTTTCCCCTTTCCCTTTCTCCAATTCTCGCTGCTTCAGCATTCACGCCACTGCTTCTGCTTCTGCTTCTCGTTTTTCAGTTAGATTGTTACTGTTAGCATTTATTTTGCTTTATCTCTGTGGATGCTTCACACCTTTATTGCTCACTAGTCATTGCTCTACGCCCATCATTGTAAAATTTTCTCTCCTCCTCATGTTTATTTCTTAACCCTATGTGGTTATTTTTTCCCCATCAGATATATGTTCTTGCTCTGTTTTTGTTTTGTATTTAGTTGGATTCTAGTGTTCTTGCTAAACTTTATTGTCGTTATTTTGATTTTTTTTGTTATGTATTTTTTGGTTGTGTTTGAAAATCAAATGCCTCTTAATTGGTTTCACTGTAGAATTTAGTATCGTGGCTAAAAGAGAAAGAACATCTCAAATAATTTTGATCAAGGAAAATTCAAAATTAACTCTATTTTAACAACGACAAAAATATTAGGGAAGGTTGAGTTATTTAAACTAATTAAATTTGTTGATGGTATGACATAGTAGAAATTGTTCAATATTTCTCACTGGAATGAACTTCTATTTGATAGGAATTAAATTGTGATGGATAAATTTGTCACGAGGTTGGACCATTCTCAACCAAGTCCTAGTTATCAATCCTTGATCTAAGTGAATGCCATTCGTTCCTATCTTATAAATGAACTCGATTTGAGGTCACTTAAAGGCGATCCAGGAGAAAGAATACCTATTGCTGACTATAACCCTAGAGTACGAGATGAAGTAAGCAAACATTACATTCAACAAGGTCCTTGTCAACCTTCCAAGCATCAATTTCCCAAAACTCAAATAGGAGGAAGAATGCATCAATTTGTTCCAAGTTGGTTCAACGGTCAATTTTCTAAACGATTGGAGTATAGTGTGAAGAAAGATATGGCATTTTTCTTATGTTGTTATTTGTTCAAAAATAAATTTATTCATGGAAGTGAGGGTGAATTTTATACAAAAAAAGGTTTTAGGGCTTGGAATAAGGGTCATGAAAGATTGTGTTTACATGTTGGTGATGTTAATAGTGTACATGATAAATGTTCCAAGAAGATGCTAGATTTATCAAATCATCATCAATCAATTCAATTTGTTTTTGACAAGAACTCCAAGAAGTTGAAAAGTGAGTATCGAATGCGTTCAGAAGTATATATTGATGTGGCAAGACTTCTATTATTATATGGATTGCCTTTTAGGGGCCATGACGAAAGTGAATCTTCAACAAAGCAAGGCCTCTTTCTAGGATTCTTACGATAGCATGGGGATAAGCATCCGGATGTGGGAAAAGTAATATTAGAAAATGCTCCACAAAATGATACTTTGACTTGCCCTATGATCCAAAAAGATGTTATCAATGCTTGTGCAAAAGAAACATTAAAGGCTATAATTAGAGACTTGAATGGAGATTACAATGGTAAATTAGTTGATGAGTCCAAAGATATCTCACACAAAGAACAAAGGGCTCTTGTTTTGCGTTATGTTGATAAGAAAGCTGAAGAGGTAGAACAATTTGTTGGTCTTGTCCATGTTAGTGATACATCGGCGTGCTCATTGAAGGAAGCAATCTAGTCTTTGCTTTCGGACCACTCATTAAGTCCATCCCAAATACGTGGACAAGGTTATGGTGGAGCTAGTAACATGAGGGGAGAGATAAGAGGTCTTAATACTTGCGTGTTGAATCTTTTATCTATAATTAATGTGCAACTTCAAGAGCTTAATGACGATTTTGATATAGTGAGTAGCGATTTGCTTGTTGGGATGGCTAGCTTGAATCCAACCAATTCTTTTGATAATTTTGATAAAGGTAGAATAATGACTTTAGAAAAATGTTACCCAAATGAGTTGATGAAATACAAATTCGAGACTTAAGTTATCAACTAGATACTTTCATAATTCATATGCGAGATGGCAATCCCAAGTTCTCCACCCTGCAAGGAATTAGTGATTTGGCAAAAATATTGGTTGAGACAAATCTTGTGGAGACTTATTCATATGTTTATTTACTTGTGAAGTTAACACTTATTTTACCTGTTGCTACCGCAACTGTGGAGAGAGCATTCTCATCCATGAAACAGATAAAGAATAAAGAGCAGAACAACATGGGTGATCAATATTTAAATGATTGTTTAATTACAGAGCGTGATGTATTTAAAAATGTAAGTAATGATGTCATTATTGATGGTTTTCAAAATATGAAAGCTTGTCGGGGACAATTGTAAATAGATTATGTATGATATTAAAAATATTATTGGAATTTTATGCTTTGCATCAATTAGTTATAGTTATTATATTTTCTTTCGTTTGAACTATTTGTCTATATAAATAAAAATGATGAATAACCCGAACCGATGCTCGAGTTGATCAAATCGATTAGGTCAGCATTCGTAACCCCTAAATCCTGGATCCACCTCTAAAACAACTCCATTTCTTAGTTTTTGAATCAATAGATTAGACAATTAATTCTCTCCCATGAGAAGGTAGCAACATGGTATTATCATCTTGTTCAACAAAATTTTGTAATCCGTTCCTCATATATGACAGTGCAGCTAAAAGTTGATGGTTGGCGAAGAGTAACAGTAGATATGACACCATTTGCTGATAAAACACATATTGATCTTGACCCTTGTTGTGAAAAATAAATTATCTTTGTACAGATATCATGTAGAAAATCCATAAAAAAGGACCATATAAATATACAAATTACCATCATTAAATCAATATGTACAATGACTGTTACGACCCTAAATCCAGATCTGGTCGTGATGACACCTCTCGTGAAGACAAGGCCAGCCGGCATACTCCCAATTCATTTTAAGCAATTAAAATAATATAAATTAAGTATTTAACATAATAATAATCTCAAAAGAAGGTAAAACAGTACAGTTGCAGAATACACATAGCCCGACATCGAGGTGTCACCAGTCATGAGCATCTACTATCCGAATAAAGACAGGAAAAGTCTACATAGTCTATTACAGAACTAAAAACAG